GGAGTGACTATTTACACTTGAGTGCAAATAGCCCGCCTTGTTGATAGAGGCTATTTACAGTAGCTCCACCCTCAAATGTGTTATAGGGATAGTTAAAGATGGTAGTTTATCATTAGCTTCAGTGGCGTAGATGGTAAAGTGCACACCGTGGTCTTTTTGACGCGATCGACCCGGGTTCGAATCCGCCTTTTACCGAACTTTTTTCTTCCTTTTCAAATCTCATATCACATCAGAAAGGCATTTATTTTCAATAAAAATGAAGGAAACAATAAAAAAGTTGAAGATAAAGTATCGGGTAGGGATAGGGAGGGCTTTATTGTCCCAATAAGGTGGCATCCATTTAATAATTTGAATTAAAATGATAATTTACACTCAATACTGCATACTGTTTTATAATGTACTATAATACGGAGGTGCAGATAATTGCCACTATTTTCAATAAGTAGTATAAATAGCAGAAAATCCTGCTATTTTAACATAGTGTAAATATAATCTATCGTTATCTGCACAGTGTAAATAGCATATTGTTAAAAATACTGCTATTTTCACTTAGTATAAATTGCCTCTATCGCTATTTACACTTACTGCAAATAGCCCTGCCTCCCATTTTAAAAATACCACCTTATTGCCTCATCTACGTCAGCCATGCTGATCATGACCTGTCTCGGTGACCCTGATCGCGCCTGACCTACCTTCCGTTTCCACTATACTCTCTCTCTCATATACATACATTCTTCTCTTGCATACACCTATTTTCTTCAGACATACATACATTCTATATATATGTATGTGAAAGGAGAATGTTTGTGTGTGTGTGAGAGTACAAATGTATGCATGTGAAAGGAGAATGTAAGTGTGTGAGAGTGCCAGAATGAATAATGGCTTGTACGGCCCCTCATACCTGGTCCTCTCTCGTCCAACATTGTCGTCACTCCTCCTTTTATCCTTCTGGAGCTCCTCCTGGGACTCGAGACCGGTGAGTGGCGCAGGTGTTGCGCATTAGCATTTCCTCCTCCTGCCTCGCTCCGTTTCCACGGCTCCCGGCCCCGCCCCTCTCGTCACAATAACAAATGTTGTAATCAAACAACTTTGAATGTATTTATACTTGACAAGTCCGAACTTAGAGCACTTTCCTACTTATGAGCTCCAAAACTGCAACAATGTGACGCACTTAAGTGATATTGGTCAGAATATAGTTGAAGAGTTGGGTAATTTCATTTCCTTCTCCAATTTTTACTTCCTGACGAATGCAGTTTTTTAGGGTTTAGTGCAAGTTAAATTAATAGCAAATATTGTGCAACAAAAGCACACAAGATCTTTAAAAAATGAAAAAAAAAGATTTATATAAACAGGTTCTTTTTGTAATTGCGCTTGCATGTTTCATAAATTTCTATTTTTATTTTATATGCATGTACGGATGGATGTATATGTATATGTGTGCATATGTATACCTTTTATTATTTGATGTAGTATTATTGCATATGTTTTGAATATTTGTTTTTTATTTTTCAATGTACTTTGTGCATTAATTCAATCTCAGTACTGCTTCAATTATATAGCACTTCGTATGGACACTCAACCTACAGTTGTTTCCAAAAGAGTATGACAGTACAGTAGCATGTAAAATAATCAGCATGACAGGCACAAAGCAGGGCACCTTTCTGGAATTGGCCCAAAGCTCTAATAAACATAAACATGCATAAGCATGCAATAATAATGGATAAAAAACACTGTAATTACTATTTTTTATCAATTACTTTCAGTATTTAACATTCTAGACATTTAATTTTCACTGAGCTCAGGGCAAGTAATGTTGGTTTGTTTGTGAAGAATGTATAAGATTGAGAAAACTTGAGATTAGACTGCATTGCAATAGCACATTTAACAGCAATTTGCATTATTACCAAAATAGCTAATTCTGTACATTGAACCAAGTTATGTATACCATATACATACTGTATAGGCACACAAACACACTCTAACTCTTCTCCATCTAATTTAACATCCCATGCAGTGCTGGGGAGATAAAGAGTCAGTCAGAGGTGACTGCCCCATCTCAGCTACACGTCCGTCACAACCCAAACATTAATTTCCTCCATAGCAGGGGGCTTATGGGACACTTTCTCTCTGATCTTCTGAGATTCTGACCTCTCTTATTTTATGTCCTCTCTCCACTTTTACATCTTCATTTCTTTCTAGGACTAGCTGATGAGTTTTAAGGATTCTCATTTTCTCTGACATGCACTGTGAGCTGTAAGGTCTTGTATAGACAGGTGTGTGGCTTTCCTAATCAAGTTCAATCAGTATAATCAAACACAGCTGGACTCAACTTAAGGTGTAGAACCATCTCAAGGCTGATCAGAAGAAATGGACAGCCCCTGAGTTAAATATATGAGTGTCACAGCAAAGGGTCTGAATACTTAGGACCATGTGATATTTCAGTTTTTCTTTTTTAATAAATCTGCAAAAATGTCAACAATTCTGTGTTTTTCTGTCAATATGGGGTGCTGTGTGTACATTAATGAGGAAAAAAAATGAACTTAAATGATTTTAGCAAATGGCTGCAATATAACAAAGAGTGAACAATTTAAGGGGGTCTGAATACTTTCCGTACCCACTGTATATTCACCCACAGTGCATATTAAGAGATTTGCATCCCAGCAACCGTGAGGAGCTGTAAATACTGAGCGGGTCACAACCTCTCTTTTCTTTCTTCCCTCTCCAAACATTTACTTTTCCAGTCTATATGTTTGGAAAGACCCCTTTTTTAATTTGTGCTGGTCTTCGTTTTTCCTTTCTGCTTATGTTTTGTTGTCTAATTGTCAGTGCAACGCTTTGCCTGTACAACCCAACCCATTCTCGCGCTCTGGATTGTTTTAAGATGGTCTGACTTTTGATAAGAGTTGGTGTTTATAGAGGTGCAGTCATGACACTGAGGTCCAAGCCATATGGTTACAAGAAAGATCATATTCATGGCGCTGCTCTGTGGCGACAGCAAACTTATTCCAACACAATTTCAATAAACCAATCGTGTGGTGATAGATGATCGTGTGACAGCAAGGGTTTTGGTGCAAATTATCAAACAGCTGAAGTGCAGCAAGCTGTCAGCACAACCACTAAAAGAATACAACAATAATAATCGTACTAATCAACTAACTAGTCGTTGGACAACTAGTCGACCATCATGATCTATCATTTATAGATAAATGGACTTCCGTTCCATATGCTAAAAATAAAAACATACATGACAAATGATTGCGAAAGTCGACAAATCTATAGTATAATCATAGCAATTTGCACTCAAATTAAAGCTGACTAATTAGATGACTATCTAATTAAGACCAGGCTGTGTTGTATCAGCTCCTGGATCGCTGAGATCACTGGAAAGGAGCCAAATTAGGTTGAATTGTGACCATAATGAGTTTAGAATAATTACTTTAATCTGTTGTTCTGTGTGTGACTGATGGATTTACACTGGTAAATGAAAAAGTTCTCTCTTTACTCACACACATTTCATTCAACCACAACTGTGAAATTATAGGCGCCATTACTATTGCTAAGACAGTCAGCTGAAAAACAAACTGTAGCCAAACCACCCTGCACAAGTTCACCAGATGTTACGATAAGATCCGATAAAGAAACTCTAAATCAAGAAGTTGTCATGAAGAGATTCCCTCCACCTGCAGCGATGATGCACTTACAACATAAGCTCTTCTCCTAAATGATGAAACAGTGTCATCACACTGATAAAGTACGTGCAGAAAATCAGTCAAGCAAACATGTCTCATATGAAAGCTTGTGGTTTCTGGGATGAAGAGTTTTATCTCAGGTTCTAAAATTTAGAAAATCTATTATGCAACCTTGAGACTAAAATATCTGCAGCTGTAGAATTGACACATCTTAGGCTTTTTAAAATGTTAACTCTTCAAAGACAGACTGTAATATGAATTAAAGAAGGCCAGTCAAGCAAGAAACCTGTGTAGTGATTCAGAGAGTGATGAGACATGTTGTGAACTAACATACACACACATTAGAATCACGTGCAGCTGCCAGGGATAATATACAAGACCGATATGAAAAATACCCCAGATAGAGAGAGCGAGAGACGCAGTTCAGTAGTTAGGAAAGAAAGAGGGATGGAAGAAGGATGGGAAGGAAAGTGGTTGTGCTTTCAATCCCTCTCTGGGTTAATTACTATGCTGACAGATAAATTACCCAATAAGCTGCTCCCAGCTGTACTCCTTAACCTCTACAAGGCATGTATTTGGGTGTTCTCTTTTCAAGCAAGAGTGTGTACAACAAATCAATCAATGCCTTGGTCAGATCTCTTCTTGCGTTCAGCAAGACAACAGTATATACTGTATATATCAATGTTATCCTTTGTCATGTATAACTTCACAGATACAGTATTCTCGGTCGTCTCGAAAACCGAATGTAGCATTATGAAAGGTTTCAATTACAATGTTATTGTAGAATTACTTTATTCGTAGACATTTGTCACAAATTATTAATATCACGCAACTGACAGTGCCTAATAATAGGAAGTACCAAGCGAGTAGTATTGACTTCTCTTGATCACTGAATGTTTAGAGGTCAGGACACACCAAACCGACTTCAAAGAACTAGCAGCGACAAAAAACGAAAAAGCTGTGCTTGAACACACTGCAGACTACAGCCAACTGCAAACTAGCCAAGTGTGTTCTGTGCCTGTGTAAAGACTTAACTGTATAAATCAGAAGGTATCAATAGTCTATAATCATCATTCAAAGAAAGGGGAAACCGAAACAAGGATATACGAAATGTAAACAAATGCAGTGCTTGCTTAACATACTGAACAGCAGTTATGTTCATTAATAACTTCACTCTAAGAGGCTTATGTTGTTATGAACAGCGACAAAGTGAACTCCGATTCAGCTTAGCGAATGAGCGCACAAGAAAAAAAATGGAACTGATGAAAGCAAACCAACGACAGAGTAAAGAGGGAACGCAAAGACACTTGTCTTTGCGACGATCAAGGGCTGACAATGCCAGTGCCATTTGCAACTTAACACTGCTTGCTTTGTATATCCACAGTTCTAGCTCTTCTGCTTTCCCTGTTTGAATGCTGAATACAGACTACTGCCACCTGCTGGTGTGGGAGTTATGTTCTCTCATGCAAGTGCAAAACATACACGCTAGCTGGCCATCGGCTGTAGTCTGTCCAGTGTGTTTTAGTGCATCTTTTTTTTTTTTTGCCCCGACAAAGGCAATGCGAGGAAACACAAGTCAGCTTTCCTCAGTGCTAGTTCTTTGGTGTCCGTTTGGTGTGTCCCTACCCTCAAGTGCAGACCAGAGTCCATGTGACATCAGAGTTTGGTTTAATGGTGCAAACACCAGCAATTCACAGTGCAGTCAGACATAAGTTCTGTGCTTATGATTTTGTAGATTTGTTTTAACTAACAAAAGCAAAATAATAAAGCTGACTTGTTAGCTAACTAAGTGGTAAACAGTTGGTTCTCACATTGATGGTGCAATCATACTGCAGTTTGATTGCATAAAAAAAAAATAATGCTGTGAGAAACAAGACCTGTGTGGGCAGCGGAAGGTGGGTGGAAACAAACTTGGGTTTGGACCAAGCTATTTAAAGAAGTATGAAAATAGTTTTAACTCTCACGCAAGTGCACATCATTTTGAACATATTAGTCTTAAGTATTTTCTATTTCTTCAGCAGTAAAACTTTGAGGTCAGTGCACCTCTAATGTTGCATCCCTCTCCTACATTTCACTCCACTGTTGTCTGGTTTAGATGATACATATAAATGGATCAAACCAAACGGCATTCGGCACAAAGCAGGATGAGTATCTAATAATGCAAATGTGTAAATGTTTACATCAGTGACGTCTATTTGTCCATTCTTTGTACTCAAGGCCATCCGGTCTCTCTTCTCTCTCCCATGTGAGGTTATTGTGACAAAAAAAAGATGCAACAAACAAGTAAAAGGACAGAGGACATGTAAAAAAAAGCGGGAAAACCAGTGTAAAAGCAGTTGCCTGGCTTGAAAGCTTTCATCTCTCTGGGTGTGGATCAAAGCTGACTGCTGCTTTAGGATTCCGCTCTTTAGGAGGATTAGCGACCGACAATTTGCGTCTCTCTGACTGCGGACAGCACAGTGAGCATGGTGGTCTGGACACTACCCTACACTGCACCTTAAACCACCATTAAGTGTGTGCGCATAAGAAGATTCTAGACGGAGGTCTACGCTTGTCAGACAAATGAGTAAAAGCATAGGAGATAAAAAGGCCTTTGCTCAACCTGTGTGTGTGAGAGCTCGGATCGCTACACATGCAAAGCTCATCTGGCCTAGCAACCGAATTGTGCACAAATGAGGTCGCCTGTTTGGATTTCAGTGTGTTTATGTTTGCAAGTTTGTTTAAACCTCGCTAAGGTCACTATTTGCGTGTGGATGTGTTTTCGGCTGAGAGGTTTGGCACAAACTCCCTGTCTGCTGTCTGGAGGTATACGGATGTGTGTGTATTGTTGCTATTTCTGCTGTCTGACTAACACCAGTGGGCTCTGGCACCACCACACTATTCTTTCCTGCTGTCCCAACTGTCACTTTTGTGTAAATGACAGAAAGCGAGACAGAATGAGTTTTCTGTGTGTTATCCTGTTGGATGAGCAGTATTACCTACTGTAAGTATGTATGTCTGTTTGCTTGTGTGTGTGTGTGTGTGTGTGTGTGCACGTTTTTGTGACAAATGAGGACATAAATTTGTATAATGACAAAGGTATTACAAGGAGAAGGTGACTTTTCAGGACATTACCCCATGTCCCCACTTTTCAAAATGCTTATAAATCACACAGAATGGAGTGTATTGAAAATCTGAAATAGCACAAAGTTTCCTGTAAGGGGTAGGTTTAGGGGTAGAGTTGGTGTAGGGCAATAGAATATATGGTCTGTACAGTATAAAAACCATTACGCCTATGGGATGTCCCCACTTTTCACAAAAACAAACCTGTGTGTGTGTGTGCGTGTGTGTGTTTGTGTTGGGCCAGGTGGCTCTGGAGGGAGACAGCGGTTTCTATTTCAGACCTAAACCCTAAGGACTATTATGGAAATAAGGGGACAAAAGAGAGCAAGAGACAAAGAGAGTGAAAGAGACAACGAAAAAATAGCAGTAACAATCAAAGCTTTCACAAACATATGCCCAAACATTCACAGTAACACAATTAAACTCAGTAAGACGAACTCATCCTCAGCTGTACTGTCTGGGAGCTGAAAATGTTACATGGGAACTGTAGACACTTTTTCTTGGAATCAGAGTAACACTCTACCTTTTGAATTTACGCCATAGTTTACAAGCACGTTTACTCTTTTCTATTTATTTACTGACCAATACAACTGAAAAGCTGTATTTTCCCCCATATAGTAGTTATATGTACGCCTACACAGTGCACATTACATCATATCTACACTTCAAGCACAGTGCTATGCATCAAAACTACCATTATAATCACTGAAGCGGTCTACTCTGCCCAATCATAAAAAGCACAAAAATAGGGAATTAAATTTTAGCATTATTGCAAATTAAATTATCTCTTAGTTTTAAACATTTAAAGTTCACCAACAATGCCACCCAATAGTTTTTCTGTCAATATGGGGTGCTGTGTGTACATTAATGAGGGAAAAAAAATAACTTAAATGATTTTAGCAAATGGCTGCAATATAACAAAGAGTGAAAAATGTAAGGGGGTCTGAATACTTTCCGTACCCACTGTATATGTCTGGCTCTCGGTGCATTGAAACAGGAACCTGACCGCAGATTTAAACCTATGGTATGAATTGTGGTAAATCAGTCAGACAAACTCTTTCATCTATTCAGTATTTAATGACCTGCTTCCGGAAAATAGGTACTTTTCTCATATTTTATTACCAGTAACCATCTAGCTGTCCCAGTACATTAAAGGGGTCATATGATGCGATTTAAATTTTTCCTTTCTCTTTGGAGTGTTACAAGCTCTTGGTGCATAAAGAAGATCTGTAAAGTTGCAAAGACTAAAGTCTCAAATCCAAAGAGATATTCTTTATAAAAGTTAAGAGTCAGCCACACCTACCTAAAACAGCTCGTTCTAACACGCCCCAACATACCTACGTCGCTATGTTGGAAGATTTGCATAACGCCGCCCAAATGTTCACGCAAAGAAAGGTGGCGTAACTTTTATTCTCGCTGTAGTTTTCGTTGTAAAATCGAAACTACTTTGTTTGGTCTTCCAAAAGAGGACGATATCTGCTTCGTCATGCCTGGAGCTGATCCGTGCTGGTTGCTGAGGAAATACTACAACTTTGCGCTGTGGATCGCCGGATCGGCTTTCACCATAGACGAAGCAGAGTCCAGCCCGGAGTCATGACATGTCCTTCCGGACGCTCCTTCGTCGAAATTGCCGGCCGCGCCGTTCTC